CCATTTTGGTCGTGGAACACGCTTCTGGTTCTGCAAGAGTGTCAGACAGGATTAGCCCGAAATCCTTCTGTTGAAGCGACCGCACTTCACTCTTACATAGGTGATTCTTCTAAGAGTATCCCGATTACTCCACTTGGACCTCTTTGTCCATAGTTCATGAATCATTAAAGCGTCATGCTATCCTCATCGTTTTCGGGAGTCACTATATCTCAGTAGAAACGGAGGGGTGTTAAGTCGGTGATCCAGCTTGCCCCCACAGTGACCGTGCTTCGTTCCACAAGTACGTTGTCCCATTGAACCCAGGTACCACCTAAGTTGGGTTTTCCTTCATGGAACGTTCCCAGCACAGGGTAGGGCTTTCAGACCCATTCCTACTACTAACTTCTCATGTTACTCATTGGTTAACCCTTTGGTTAATGGATCCGCTAAATCATCTTTTGACTTGACATAGTCAATCGAGATAATACCCGTATTGAGAAGTTGTCTAATGGTTTTGTGTCTACGGCAAATGTGCCTAGACTTACCATTATACAATTTGTTCCGAGCTCGTCCTATTGCTGACTGACAGTCACAATAAATGCAAATAGGAGGAAATGGTTTTTCCCAGTTTGGAATATCCTCAAGTAAATTTCGAAGCCACTCGGCATGTTCTACGCACTTATCTAGTGCTATGAATTCAGACTCCATGGTGGATCTGGCAATTAACGTTTGTTTTAAGGATTTCCAAGATACAGCTGCACCGGCTAACATAAAGATAAATCCGCTTATGGATTTTGAATCCTTATTATCCGCAATCCAATTGGCATCGGTGTACCCTTCTAGCACGGGTGGATACCTGCCATAGCATAGGCTATAAGCTCGAGTATACCGAAGGTGTCTCATCACTCGGACTATGGCCTTCCAGTGCTCAACACTCAGATTGCCAGTATACCTACTTAGTTTGCTAATAGCGCAAGCTAAATCTGGCTGTGTGCAGCTCATCAGATACATCAGACTTCCGATAACTCTAGCGTATTCTGTCTGAGAATCGCTACTCCCTCGGTGTTTACGAAGGTGAACATTTACGTCTATCGGCGTCTTAGCTATCTTGGTATCATCCATATTGAATTTATCAAGGATTTTGTCAATGTAGTGGGATTGGCTCAAGCTCAGACCATCTGGTCTTCTTATTATTTTGATTCCAAGAATCACATCAGCGAGACCCAAATCTTTCATATCGAATCGTGCGTTCAACATGTCCTTGGTGGACTTAACCATCCTGTCGTTGCTTCCAACAATGAGTATGTCGTCTACATACAGACATAAAATGACATACCCTTCAGATGTGTCCTTAAAGTATACGCACTTATCCGAATAATTTATCTTAAAACCGTTGTTCATCATTACCTCGTCAAACTTATCATGCTATTGTTTTGGCGCTTGTTTAAGACCATATAATGATATCACAAGTTTGCAAACCTTCTTTTCTTGGCCCGGAACCTTAAACCCCTCGGGTTGTTCCATATAGATTTCTTCATCTAGCTCGCCATTTAGAAAAGCAGTCTTTACATCCATTTGGTAAACATCCAGGTTTCGTAAGGATGCAAATGCGATGATGATTCTGATAGAATCTATCCTAGTCACAGGCGCGTAAGTATCAAAGTAGTCATAGCCCTCGCGTTGGCTATACCCCTTGATCACAAGTCTAGCTTTGTACTTGTCAATGGAGCAGTCAGGCTTCATTTTCCTCCGAAAGACCCATTTAGAACCTAATGGTTTACACCCTGGAGGGAGATCAACCAATTCCCACGTGTGATTCTGAAGAATAGAATCAACTTCACTTTTTATAGCTTCTCGCCACTGAGGTCCCTCAGTTGAGGTTACGGCCTCATGATAGGTTCGTGGTTCCTTTTCTACCAAGCAGGTTAGAATATCGGGTTCATTTTCCATTAGAAATGACAAACTTCCTTCGTCAAATTCTATCAAATATGTTATGAAGTCAGAACCGAACGTCTTTTCAGTTCGTATTCTTTTACTTCGTCTCAATTCAGTCTCATGTTCGACATCATCAACGTCACCGGAATTCAACTGATTTGGATCATCGTCATCCATCATCTCAGTATGAGAACGTTTGGACGAACTAGCTTCGTCACTTGACTTGCACGAAAAAATGTGCTCGAAAAACGTTGCATTCCGTGACTCTATGATTGTGTTCTTGTGAATTTCAGGATTATCTGATTTGTACACCAAGATCCAGTATGACGTACTATTGTACCCAATGAAGATTCCATCAACTATTTTTGGACCGATCTTCATTTTTTTTGGTGGTGGTGCAAGTACCTTCGCGAGACACCCCCACACTTTGAGATACTTATAGGAAGGTTTCCTATTATGCCAAAGTTCATACGGAGTTTTGTCAAGTTTCTTACGAGAAATTTTATTTAGTAAATAATTACTTGATAAAACAGTCTCCCCCCACATGTTCTGGGGTAATCCAGAACTAAGTAGCATCGCATTCATCATGTCTTTTAGAGTGCGATTTTTCCGCTCTGCTACACCGTTTGACTGCGGTGTATACGGTGGGGGTTATTTGTTGCACTATTCCGTGTTGTGCACAAAACTCATTAAGTGGAGCATCATACTCACCACCTCTATCGCTTCTCAATGCTTTGATTTTGCGATTGAGTTGATTTTCCACTTCATTCTTATATCGAATAAAAGTGTCTAACGCTTCATCTTTACTTTTCAGTAAATAGATATATCAATATTTCGTGCTATCATCGACGAAGGTAATAAAGTACTTATTACCCCCTCTTGAAGGCGTTGTTCGAAAATCACACAAGTCGGTGTGAACCAACTCTAGAGGTTGAGTATTTCGTTCGATCGTTTGAAACGAACTTCGAGTTGACTTTGCCTCAACACAGGTTTCGCACTTGTGAGTTAAGTCAATATTAAACTTAGGAATGTGTTCTATGTTAATTAATTTCCGAAGAGATGCATAATTAACATGTCCTAGTCTACCATGCCATAAACTAGAAGACTCACACACATAACCAACAAGATTTTTATTGATTTTCTCATGAACAGTCATTACATTCAGCTTTACAAGCCCATCGGAAATATAACCTTTCCCTATAAAAATCCCTTTCTTGGACAAAATTAGCTTGTCTGATTCAAACACCATCCGAAAACCGTGTTTGATCAGCAATCACCCCGACACTAAATTCTTGCGAATGTTTGGCACATAGAGCACGTCGTTAAGCGTTAGCTCCTTGCCGGAAGTCATTTTTAGCTTAATTTTTCCAACCCCTTGAACCTCTGATTGGGCCGAGTTGCCCATCCACCAGAGGTCTCTTGGAAGTTGTGAAACATGCTCTTGTTTGAGCAAATATGGCGTGTGGCCCCTGTGTCCACAAACCATTCCATCGGGTTTGACCCGACGAGATTCACCTCGGTGACGACTGCGCAGAGGTCCAGGTTGTCGAGCTCTGCGCACATAGCTTCGGTGGTTTTCTTCTTGTTCTTCTGTGGCTTCTTTTTCCTACAATCGGAGGAACAATGCCCGGTAATGCCACAATTGTAGCACTTTCCTGCGAATTTAGAAACGCCACCCTTAGGACCCATTTTCTTTTTATCCTTCCCGCCATGTGAGGAGCCCGATGGATGTTCTACCACATTTGCTTTTGCCCCTCCACCTTTTCTGGCAAGCCCTTCCTCTCGAATCCTCAACCGCGTGAGCAGTTGCTCCAGGTTCAGCTCCGTTCTTTTGAGCTTGAGGTCGGCTTGGAAGTCTTCCCACGACCGGGGAAGTTTGTGGATGATGGCCGGCACATGAAAAGCCTGACGCCTACTTCTCTTCATTGCATTTGTTGAAGATTACTGTAAGCTCCTCAGCTTGGGCGACAACAGATTTGCTGTCGACCATCTTGTAGTCTAGTATCTTCCCGACGATGAACTTCTTCGTGCCGGCATCTTCAGCTTGATACTTTTTGTTCAAGCTGTTCCAAAGCTCCTTGGCAAGCTTTGCACCGGCGTAGACGGGGTACAGCGTCTCGGCCAACCCCTCGAGGATAATGTTGATGGCGAAATAATTATTGTGGTACCACGCTTGGTTCACCATCGCCACGAGGGGGTCTTTGGCTTTGTTGGGCTGGGGAGGATCTTGCTGCAGGTACTCAGCAAATCCCAAGACGGTCAAGAAGAACGTCATCTTTTGTTGCCACATTTTGAAGTTCGTGCCATTGAACTTCGGTGGCCTTTGGACGGAACTAGCAGGCACCGAAATCAGCCTAACTGCATTGGGCGTGTGGAGGAAAGGCCCGTTGGTCGCCCAATGAGGTCCAACGAATGGATCAACTGGTGCGGGGAAACCCGCGTTCGGTCCAAAGTTGACCGTCGAGCCCGAAGCCATAGTCGGTCCGAGAAACGGGTTCGAATTACCGACGGGGAAATCCCCCGTGGTTTCGAGCCCGGGAATGGGTCGAGGGGCCGACCCGAAGATCGAGCTCGGCATCGAGATTGACGTCATGGTTGCGGCCCCCACACTTGACCCGAAGGGCAGCGGTGAGGACGGTACGACCATGGCGACCGAAGAGGTTTCCACCGGGATTTCGGAACTCATTCCGTTGCCGGAGGAACCCACGATGCCGAATCCGAAGTCCATCAATACTACCTTAAGAATGTTGAATATTACAGCGGGAAAAAATAAAAATTTATAATAATTCGAACTTATAAACCGTTCGGATTTTACAATTAAAATAAAATAAGAAAAAATTAGAGTCTTCGGATGCTCGAACGGATTGGAAGAACACGAACGGACAGCAAGACAGTGACTTCGGACGGAGGGTTAGGCGTCGCCGGAGCAGTTTCTCGAACTAAAGGTTAGGAAAGCGGAGTCGCCGGAGCTTTCCTTAAGGTAGTATTGCCCGCCTCCCGCACTAGCAAACGTGGGCAATCTCCTCCCAAGATAAAACTGCTTCGTGCTAAGTCTAGAGCGGTAGAATATAGCACCGGCGAATGAGAACGATGGGAAGTTATCGCCGGAGAAGATGATCGGAAATCGGGGATTCGTCGGAAGAGTTTTACTGCAGAGAGAGAGAGAGTGAGTTTTCGAGTGTATTCTTCTCCTGCAGCCAAGCCCTCCTTTTATAGGAGGGAATTTTGGCTCTTTGCTGGACCGTCGG